GCCCCCCCCAAGGGACTGGCTGCAACAGCTCCCTCCTTGCTGGATTGATCAGGAGGCCGCTCGGGTGCTCAGCCAGCTGGAGAATCTGCAGCCGGGTGGTTACGACCGGGCCAAAGAGGCCCTGCGGCACAGTCCGGGCTGACCCCCGAGATGTACAGGAAGAGGTTCCGGGGGGTGCAGAAGGGGCCACGGGAGACCTATGTGGATCTTGCCTCCCGCCTGGCGCAATCCTGCCGCAAGTGGGTGCTCGGCACAGGACCACCGTCGCCCTGACAACGGGACCCCTCATCGTCCACCGTCGCCCTGACAACGGGACCCCTCATCGTCCACCGTCGCCCTGACAACGGGACCCCTCATCGTCCACCGTCGCCCTGACAACGGGACCCCTCATCGTCCACCGTCGCCCTGACAACGGGACCCCTCATCGTCCACCGTCGCCCTGACAACGGGACCCCTCATCGTCCACCGTCGCCCTGACAACGGGACCCCTCATCGTCCACCGTCGCCCTGACAACGGGACCCCTCATCGTCCACCGTCGCCCTGACAACGGGACCCCTCATCGTCCACCGTCGCCCTGACAACGGGACCCCTCATCGTCCACCGTCGCCCTGACAACGGGACCCCTCATCGTCCACCGTCGCCCTGACAACGGGACCCCTCATCGTCCACCGTCGCCCTGACAACGGGACCCCTCATCGTCCACCGTCGCCCTGACAACGGGACCCCTCATCGTCCACCGTCGCCCTGACAACGGGACCCCTCATCGTCCACCGTCGCCCTGACAACGGGACCCCTCATCGTCCACCGTCGCCCTGACAACGGGACCCCTCATCGTCCACCGTCGCCCTGACAACGGGACCCCTCATCGTCCACCGTCGCCCTGACAACGGGACCCCTCATCGTCCACCGTCGCCCTGACAACGGGACCCCTCATCGTCCACCGTCGCCCTGACAACGGGACCCCTCATCGTCCACCGTCGCCCTGACAACGGGACCCCTCATCGTCCACCGTCGCCCTGATAACGGGACCCCCCATCGTCCACCGTCCCCCTGCCAC